GTTATTTATCATCTTTTTTTTTTTGCTTTCCAAAGTCATTATATACGTGCAAGAATTCCTCCATAGTGGTTGTTCAGTATGATCAACAATTTGTTTAGAAATCAAATGGCTCTTCAGTCACCTGTTCAGCGAGACGGAATCTTAATTTTTTATGATTTAATTTCTCATTGTAAAGAGACCAATTAATATTGCCTTTTCTTTCGTCATCAGATTCCTAATGAAGTCGGCAAAGAAATGATAGCACAGAGTATGATGGAAATATGTTTTGATTCTTTCTACTTACTTCAAATTTGTCTCATTTTCGAAAGAACAATAAAAGTGGAATTGTAAGGCAAATGAGTAACCATATCTTTTCGGAATTTAATTTGGTTAGATCTGTATGAGGTCTTATTAATGGTTGATGGTTTTTGAAGGTTACAAAAGCTCCTAGTCAAAGTTAGAGTTTTCTTTGGTTGAGTCTCAAATCAATAGCTTCGGTCGAAAGCCAGCAAGAGTCAATGGTCTAAAATCTTAATTGCAGCGATTATCTTTCGATATGATAGGAAATTTTCCACATTGGTCGGCTAAAAGAAGCAACCGGGAAGTTTCAAATTCTAAAAAATTGGTGTTCTATGCCCCGGTCACTGTCTAAAACCAAATTTAGAGTGTAGCCCATGACACGGCTGAATGGCCAACTGTATTTCCTTCCAGCAGTATCTCCAGCTGCGCCGGCACATTATCTTATTTGACGTTTTGACGTGCAGTATCGCTGAGTTGTGCCGTATTTTAACTGGCTCTTAGAGCGAGTAAAAATAAAAACAACGCGTTAAAAATACGTAGAGGTCATCACACGGTGGCGAGAGGATACGAATTTTACGTTCGAGTAGCGAGAACAACATCTCAGATGTTATTCGTGCTTAGAGAACAGAAAATTCGTGTCTTCGAGCTAAAGTGTATTATTCTTTTTATTGTATGGGCCATTGATATATATATGGTAGGGGCTTAAATTCCATTTCTGGGTATCAAAAGAAAAAAAAAAACAAAAATTTACCTTTGTCTCGTCGCAAGTTTCGAGAAATTTCTTTTCGGCGCTCTCGTTCTCTAGCTGTTCAGGAAAATACATTTACATCTTTGTCGCTTACCACAAAAAAAAACTCTTGCTGCCGTGTAGTATTCCAACAAGAAACGAACTAGGTTCATTCAGTAAAGTTTGAAAAGGCGGGAGTTGTGACGTCGCTGCTCAATATCTGCACTCTCGTCACATATGAAAAATACTCCACTCGGCTTCCGGATGTATTAGTATAGGAAATCGTATGAACGCGAGTGCATTTCGTGATTTATGGGCACGAGTGATGTTTTGAAAGTTCTCAAAATTGCACGAGCCGTAGGCGAGTGCAATTTGAGAACTTTCAAAACATCACGAGTGACCATAAATCACGAAATGCACGAGCAGGTTCATACGATTTTTTATTTATTATATTCTCGACAAAATTACTCCATCGCGCTACCCCGGTGTTTCCATGGCAACTTCTCCGTATTGCACTCTATAACCTCTATTGCACTCTATAACCTATTTATGCATTCATCATTGACCAATCAGAAACGCGATATTTTGTTGAGTATATAATAAGTCGTATTAATTCTACGAGTGTTTTAGTTTTCGGTAGAACACTCACGTCCATTTGGTAATTAGCCATACTACACAACAAAAGGTCTAACATGTTATTTATCATCTAACTGCTTTTTTTCTGCCGATCGTTTCTACTCATATCTCATAAGGCGGGAAAAGAAAAGCGGATAGAGAAGCGTAGCGCGCAGCCGACAGGTTAAACAGGTTTTTTCACAGTTCCAAATAACCAACTGTTCACTATTGCGGGATATTTGAAATCTATTCGCGTGTTATTTGTACTCTACTTTGTGCTGTTGGATAATAACATACTTGACTGGTTCATCTTCCCTCTTGGCTGGGTTGTTCAAAGCCGGGATAAGATAACCCAGGGTAAGTATATAATCTGATCTTAGAGCTGAAAGCTTTGGCAGAAAATTCAGTAAAATTATTTTTTTCCTCGATTGGACGCGTGGATGCTCTAAAAAGAATAGAGAAAATTATCCTAAAAAGGCTTTTGAACAAATGAATAAAGAAACACATTAAAATTCCAAGACAAACGGCCTTCGAACAACTAGGCCCAGCAGCTGGAGAGTACTAACACCCCGGAAACTCCGAGAAATATCCATGTTTGCGTCAGGTTTTGTCCTCGGCACTTTTGTAAAATAGGGAGTACTACCTCGAGTAAAACACTCATATGGACAGCGTTCTTCTGCTTTTAGAACGGCTAGAATTTGGAACAATTTTCCCTAATGAAATAAAAGGACTGTTTTTCCATGAGCTCATTCATTAACGAACTCACAAGGCGCCTGGTTGTTTTTGTATCCATTGCAGTCATTTATATGTGTAGAACATTTTGTAATTTACGGGTCACTTTCTACTCTTTTTGGATGTTTTCTTATTGTTTTTTCACGAGGGCCTCATGTAGACTATCTTGTGACATTTCGTGCTGCCCTTTTTCAATGTACATAAGAAACTCCCGCACGATTTGTTTTTTAGGAACTGTAAGTGCATTATACACTATTATTACGGTGGGTTTGTATGAATATGAATAAAGTTTTAACGGGGATTGGAAGTTGGTGAGTGGAAGCAAGCTGAGCTTTAAAAAATGGCAGACGACCGCTGGCGCTCCATCTAGTGATGGAGATAAAGTGGTGATGTCAAGGGATTTCCCAGCAAAAACGCAAGGCCTGTTTAATGATCTTTCAAACAATCAAAAAAGGGCTTACATTTGTGAAATGCCTAAAGGTAATACCATCTCCAAAACGCACATGGTATATTTTAGAACTTTAACTCGCAGATTACTGAATATTTGATCAGTCTAAGTTTTTGTTTCGGAGCTGATTCTTCTTACATCATGTGTTAACAGGGGTACTCTTGAGGGAAATTTTTATTGTGAAAAAAGGGAAAGATAAACTACAATCTCCTCTATATTATTGAATGAATCACAACTGAAATCGAAGCTGAAATCCATAATCTTAAAATTCCAATGCAATCTTTTTCTTCTCCCTTGCCATGTTATCAGTTGTCTGCCAAATTGTAATGTATGTTGTGTTTGCGTATTACAGTCAAGCAAACAATGTGCGTACATAGAAAACGGTTCTTAAATCACCTGCTCTTCGGAACGGAATCCTGTTTTATTGTTTTTTTTTTTAATTTCTAATCATAGAGACCAATTTTCTTTTTTTTCCTCTTTCAGATTCTTCATGAAGTCAGCTAAAAAAAACCAATAAAAACAAACAAACAAACAAACAAACAAAAAACAGAAAAATATAGTAAGGCTTTAATTCTGACGATGGAGATCTGTTTTGTTTGTTTGTGCTCAGTTTAAATTTGTCTCATTTTGAAAGAACAATGAAAGTGCACTTCCATGACAATGAGTTACTAACGAAATTTTTTGCATTTTTTGGGTATTGAGGTTTCATTAATGCTAGATTGTTGTTTCCTTTGGTTGATTTCCAGTCAATAGCCGCGGTCGAAAACCAACAAAATTCAAACATCTAATGTTTTAAGTGCAGCAATTATCTTTCGATACGGTCACAGAAAAAATGGGACTGAGAAGGAGGCACCTGGTCTAGGCATTGGATAAGTCAATCTTACCTAAGCTTTTTTGTTACTGGTCTCACGAACGGAGGCAGGTTTTCCAAGAAATCTGATATTTTTTTCGCTGTGCGAGATGGAAACGCACAGCGGAACATGACTCTTGCAGTCCCTATGGCAACTTTTTCAATAAGGGAAATGTGAGTCAGTCTTCCTATAGGGGTTTCTGATACAACAGTTTTGTCGTGGCCAGATCACTCTATGAGTGTGTTGACATGCAAGGCAATTTGATGACGGTTAGATTGTTAAAGTTCAGGATAATACAATAATCAGACTGACCAAACATTGTGTATCCGTTTTTCATTATAAAAAACCTTATAAAGTAAAAACCATTTTAACACAACACCTCCATATGTTACTTTTCGTTTATTCAATCAGTTATTCTGTAAATGTGCACTTGCGTTCCAAGGGTACGAGTAAACGAGTTTGAGTCAGCTGATAGTAAATGACTGGAAAAATGGGATGGAATCAAGGGAAAATCTGATTTTTTCCGAAGGAGAGGGATTCTATCGAAGTGTAAGGAAGAAGTGTACTTTGTTGTGGACGTTATTTGGTGATATCATTTAAATAACGTAAGAACAAAGGCAAAATATCGAAAATCGTTAGTTGCATTGACTGCGCATGCGTAGGAAGGAGTCAGACACATTTCTAAAGGAAAAAAGGAATTGCATCTTGCATCTCTAAAGAGAGAAGGAAAAAAATGAGCCAATTACTGGTTAGCATTGGGCTACTGATCATTAGGCAGGGGATGTTCTGTTTGCATTCTTTTATTCTCCGTTACTATTCTACTCCGTTTAATAACGTTTCTGTTGTCATGCTAATAAGCAGTATTTTTAGCCTTTAGGCTTGAAAGCATTTTCCCTCGCAAAAAATTTTTGATCCTTTGAAGAAAAAATTCCATGCCACGAACTTATAACATATAATAATGAACATATCACCTTGTTATCTCATAAATACTAATAGAAGTAGCAGCAATTTATTCACATTGTCATCTTTTTTAAAAAATGCATCTTCATCGGTATTTCTCCACCATATTATATCTATGCTCAAATTAAATTCGTATGAAACCTTTTAACAAACCATGGTAGAGAGGAAACACGTTTATCATATAAACTACGGTGTTATTCAACGATTTCCAGCCCTAAGAAAACTTGAAAAAGTGCGATAATTTAGAAATTTTCTGTCCTTTTGTAAAACAGTTCTAAGCTATCGTTCACATACATTTTCTTAGCATTTTAGCTCTTGGATAGCGACAGCATCAACCGCACTGTAATTTTAATTTCTTAAGTACATGTACATGTCATAATGGTTAACGACCGGAAATCAAGCCGCGGGTAAAAGAGCTCATGATTGACGTATCGAGAATAATTTATTTTTATTCGGTATTTTAAGAACAGTTTTGCCGTCCCTTGTTTTCTCCTTATTTTTATCAGCGTCAACGGTTGTAACCAAGAAAAAGTTGTTTCCTGAATATCTGGATGTCCTACCCACTTCTACCTAACTCTTAACTTTGCTCGTCAAAAATTCTTATGTCAGTCGATGTCAAGAATATTTGGTGGAGCAAAAGGTTGCCCGCTTGAAACTGACAAGGCCTTGAACTGTACCTCTTTTAGGCAACAGGTTGAGGTCTCCTCGAATACGTTGAATACGATATTAAGAAGTCTTTTGAATTATCCCTGAAGAGTCAACATCCCACGAAGAAAACGTTTCTGATTGTAAGCTGTTCCTAAAAAAAACTTTCAGCTTGCGAGAGCCAGATCTTGCATGGTCATCACCACTTTTTGTTACGGCAAACGTATTATCTGGGTATTTGCTTAGTTTAAGCCTTAGATTACGACAAGCGTCCTGGATATTACCAAAACAGGCGTTGTCGGAAGTACCGGGCTGAAAACAGAATAAATAGGTGTAAATTCTGAGTCAGCTTTTCGAACTAAAAAAAATCTAATCAGTGGTCAGAAGAGTTGGGGCTGCCCATCAAGAATGCCTGCATACTGAAAAACTTACCACCAGTAGTTTGAAATTGACGGTTTAAAATTGAATTTTTCCGAGAAGGGCTGGACTTGATATTAACGAAATTTGTGAACGATGTTTCCAACATATCACAAAAATTTCAGAAACATTTAAAATCTTTCACAAAAATATAATACAAAAACTATAGTCCTTTAAGAAAATTTCACTCTGCCATTTCTTGTGCAACAAAACTTTGAACTTGTTTCAAAAACTTCAAGAACTCCGGAAGTTTTGCAACAATGGCATCTGGCTCCCAGTCCTTGGTGCAAAGTGCCTCATCCCACTCTTTACAGTGCAAATGAAGATCAGTCTACAAACGAATACAAACAATGACGTGTAAATAAACAATTTTCTATGAATAGAAAAATAGTCGTTATCTAATTCAAGCTTTTCTGTTGCTTTTTTGGCTGCTTTCGTCCTACGCTTCCAGCAAATCATACACAGTTTCCTTCGGTTTCGCTCTCGCAGAGTTTTTCGTTATATCGTTTCCTCATCTATAATGTACATCAAAAAAACGTGTCGATGAGAATTCCGATGCAGAAATAATAAAATTTAGTGGAGAGAAAGGGTTATTCCGTGCCAAAAAAGTGAAAAACAGAGAATTTTGATGGTTGATAAACAAAGGCACTCATAAAAAGCCAAACGAACACGACCTCTAAACGGCGTCACAGGCTCATGCAATTATGCTAGACTTTGAAAACATTTGTTCGCGCTCATCCATCCCAAATTACATTTGAAACCATGTGTTTACTCTAAGTATAGCCTTGTGAAATAAGAATAAAAAATTTGCTGGTGGCATATGGAGAACTGTTTTAAAATACGTACATGAATAACTTTGTATGACATGATAAATGGAAGCTTAGACGGAAGGAAGGATCCTTCGCAAATACCAACACTCGGTGATCAAATCATAGCTGGAGTTCCACGAGAAAAAATGTTGTTAAATCCAAAAGAAACGCAGAAAGAAAATTTGAGTGACGTTTACATGATATGCAGTACCTACTCTACTTTAAACAAGGTAAGCCCGCCTATTTGTATAGTGTCCACGAGTAATCATAAAAAATTTGAGGCCATGTTGTAGAATATCAATATTAACGAACACATCATTTTGACCGGCTTGGCCCGATGGAACTGTCCCTACCGATTCTCTGGAGTCTTCGTTTAGGATGTCACATCGCCACGAGCTTTCTTTGGAAAGAATGATCGCGTATCCCTCATTGGCGGTGTACAAAGTTCGTTTGGAGGAGCGTTTATGGATCAAGTGAAATCCCTCGGGTATGGTTTCTTCTGGAAGGCGGAGTCCGAAATCATCTTCATCATCGAAGGTGAGTCCAGAGAGATACTTTGACATGATAAGTCTTGTTTCTTCATCTGGTGCATAGTCTGCGTTGACCGCACGATCTACAGAATTATTGAGAAATGTTACATTTTTGTTCGATTAGTGGATATTATAATTTAGATATTTAAAACAAGCTCCTATTTTGTAAGGACATAAATATAAATTATAACTTGAGGAAAAATGGCACACGGACCTTGCCCGAGTTTTAGTGGAACTAATGGTTTTAAATATAGCTTTTTCAACCAAATCATTGATAATGGAAGAGTTCACCAAGTAATATTCGAGAAGCAAACAGTATTACAGCCTGAAAAAGGAGCGTTTTAAATTTTATTAAGGATAATTGGAACTTTTATCTTTATATTTGTATATACTTTTCTTACATCTTAATAAGTGGGAGATCCCTAACATGGTGCGCCAGCGCTTTAAATTTAAATCAATTTAAGCCTATTTTTTCATCTGGTGGAGTGAATATGTAATTTGTTCCGCTGACGTGAGTTTGTGCCGGTATGTTTCAGATTTTCAAACTGGCCTATTACTCAGTAACAATGACCTTTTCTTTCCAAGCTTACAGCAGTAAGTTTATCGTATATTACAGCAATGAGAAGACTAGCCTCACAATGTGTCATATTTTCTTGTTATATAATACAGTGTGGAGCATGAAGGTACAAAATAGCCAAACGACAAATATTCAGACAATTTTTTTTAATTCTCGTAACAAACCTGCTTTAGATCTTATCTACCCCCTTTGTACGTTGGCCATAAGAAACTTGCAGCGCTCGCGAATATGTAACACAGAGAGGAATGGGGTGTTTCGAGAAAACCTGAGGATTGTAACGCATATCCTCTTGACAAGTTTTCTTATTATCAAATCTTTTATCGAATTCTTCGTTTCCTAGTTCCCTTTTCTGGTATCAAACTCGCACAGAGTTCGATAGTGTATGTTGTTAGAATAGCAATTAAATAAAACCAATAATATTTCAAAGGTCTGTGCGATACCAGATTACAAGCGTTTCACACCCACCTGTTCGCCCTCGAATGGTTAACCTGCAATCAAATTCACAACTGGGAAACAAAATATCGGCCTGTAAATATCTTCGAGATGGAAGAACCAGCCATCCCTGGCATCTCGACCGTGTTACCTCGTCCTCAAAGTGAATTGTCTCGAGAATATTCTTCACGTCGCTGAAAGGGATTGGAATATCCTCCAACTTCTTATTTATATCTGCCTTTGCCACCCACACCTATGTATCAAAGATTATATGAGACACTACTGTTTGTTGAATATGATCCTCTTAGAAACACTTAATTTAAAGCAATGCAAGAATCTGTTTTTTCCGTGAGATTCGTTATTTTCATTTTAGTTAGCTTGTTTGAAAAAATTAAGGGCTGTTTAATTATATATCTTAATGTAGGTGACTGGATATCATTGTATATCGCTCTTTATATCATTGTTAGATATTTTTTAACCGAATCTTTTTTTCCCAAAGCTTTGCCAACTTAAGGTTTATCAGCTGGTGTATTGATCTATTTTATGCTTATTGTATATTGTGTGGATCACCATTTCTAACCACGATGTCACCGTACCTTGCATCGCACTTGGTGCCCACATGGCGTCAAATATGTTAAATCATATCTCACTTTGAAATCCTCAGTCGTCGTTTCGCACAAATTACCCTTCAGGATTTTCTCATCGAGATTCACACCTTCTTTAAAGGCTACTTTCCAATAGTTTTCTGCTTCTGAAGATTGAAGCTTTCCTGTAACCTCATCAATACTCCATTCCCCTTCAGTCACTTCCTCTACAAGAAAAAAAAATTGGCGAAATATATGTTTGTTCTCATCACTTTTTTTTGTTACTGATGCATCGGATATTTAGGGTCAGCTCCTCTTCATTTAACAAGATTCAATGATCAAAACCAGGCCTGATACACTATATTTAAGTAATCCTTAATTCATTTCCAAACAATAGTCGTATAATTTCTTTTCTTGTTCTTTATCAGTAAGAGCTCGCCCTTATAAAACAGACTTCTGTAACTTGAGCCACACCAATAGAACACCAAGAGCCGACATTAATGATGGCGAAAACATCAACAAAAAAGGTAAGAGCTAACAGAAGAAGTAGAATGGATATGAGTAAAACTACCTTCATCGGCTCCTCGGATTATGGCCGTTCCCAAGTGACACCACATGTCAGCCTTCGGTTGCTCTTCGGTTTCATACTTTATTTGACGCAGTGCCTCTAATGCAGCATCCATAATTTGCGAGTGATAACCATCAGTAGAACTATTTGGTTCCTGAATTAGATCAATTTTCAATTTCAAATTCTGATGTCGAGCTAATAAGTTTGACGATTGCAAAATATATGAAATATGCGTTAACAACCAGTTTTTCACTAAAAAGGGTATGCCATAATTCCGAAATACTTTCATCGTTTATGAAACTAGACGTACATGTAGTTTTAGCCTGGAAGAATTATTTTCACGGGCTGTACTTGTGTATCTGCAGAGTGCCGTTAAAACATCTGCGGCATCGACAGGCAAATTAAAGTCTAAGTTGGTCGTATAAATATTTTTGATGGTCTCAGACTCCGGTGAATAAAACGTTTCATTTATTACATAACAAAAATCCCCTTATGATTAGCCGTTTGCGATAGAGTGAGCAGGGCCAAAGAGTGAAAGCCGTACAGCCCTCGAGAAGCGGGCTAAAAGAAGAAAGGAGGAAGAAGGAATTGTTAGGCCATATGAAACACTATTGATAATATATTCATAGCTGTCTTAGCGCGTTCCTAAACTACATCGCTTTTAATGTTAACTGTTATGAACAAACCTGATGTTCATAGTCCTCAGTAGGTTTCAGTCGATATTGACTTTGCATTCCTGGATGAACCATACGATCTCCCTCAGAAACTTGCTCCAGCCTCAGCTTACAATCAGTTGGCAGATTACAGCCATCAATGAAACGACATACTTTGTTGAATTCGTTTTCCACTCCCCTCATTCTTGCTCCAGCCTTGAAAAACAACAAGTTTTATTATTGTATAAGCATTTATTTTTTCAAGTATCGTACATATTGTGCGTTCTTTTATCAGTCGAACTTGAATGTGCGGTACGTTCCTTGATCATCTTGCTCCTAGAGGTGAAATATTTCTAAGCGCATGCAAAGTATTTGCACATCGAACAACAACAACAAAAAAAACGAATAATATATAGTGTCTTTTTTAAGAGTGTTTACTCAAGAAGACATGCCTCGTGTGAACAACTAGCTGTAATTATTTTCAATTAAGGGTTTCAGAAGTGAAAGACTACAATAATGCTTTGGTCAATTCGATGCATAAAGATGATGGAAGACTCCAATTGAAACCAAAGGAAAGAACTGACCAGTTGGCTAATTCTCCGAAAACATGAGAGTCATTGCACCGTCGCCTCCCGATTCGGGAACACTACATTTATAATTTTCATTCCCTCAATTCCTTTTCGGATGGCCGACTTCCTGAAAAGCTAATTCCATTGTTAAAAAAAAAATGTCACAAGCGTGCAAACGACTACCGGGGTTGTCTTCACAAAGTTTTCTCTTATCCAGTTCAAGAAGTTGAGCTCTATGCGACGTGTCTCGGGGGAACAAATTTCAGGATCATGTCCTTTAAAACTCTCCCTCCCCTACTACAATTTTTTTTTGCAAGGCATTCGTGCTTTGTGATTGTGCCCCCGCTCTAATGTCTTTTCCATTTGCTCCCAAAACTTGTTTTCCTGGTGTGTTTTTCACGCATTATTTTTCTCTGCTGTGTGTTGTAACAAAATGCACTCGAAACATATCCCCACCATTGAGCTCACCTTGAACAGCGATACCCATCTTGACACTGACCATAATCAAAACGATTGCAATGGAAATGGGAATGCCCATCATGATAATGATAATATTCACGAAAGTTAATGGTGCGAAAGCATGAGATCGACCCTGATCATCATTTCAGTTGTCAAAAGAGATTTACAAAGGAATATTTTTGCTTTTAATGAATATTCTATGAAGGAATGAACTTACGATGATAGTGCTAATGTACAGTTTGGCCTGTTGTCGTTGCTGTTCAGTTCCACTAGCTATATATACTTCACCGTCTTTCCTTGTGACTTTTGCACCAGTTTGAGTGCTGATGTCACGGAGATTATCGCCTCCTTTACCCATTACCAAGCCTTTGTAAACTTGAGGAATCTCTACATGTTCACCAAGGGAACGTGGGTCGTTTCTCTTTCGCTGTATTTCTTGCTATTATAATAAAACGAAACTGATGTAACTAAAAATGCGAATCTCAATCAGTTTTGGACAAGATCAGCAAAATAAGCCTGAAGGAAATAAAGCTCTTAAACTTTGGTAAGGCTTTGCTCGAAATTTTCAGCCTCAGTGTTAGCGCCTTCTCATTCAATGAAAGTGATTTTGTCTTTTTATCGGTAGAAACTTACCACCTTCTCTAAAATAAGACTCCTTGCACGTGCTCGTTGCTCAGTATCGCCGCTGATTGAGAAGCTGTCCTCATCTCTCCTAGAGCTGATCTTTGCTCCAGATTTCGCCATGATCTCTTTAATGTTACAGCCTCCCTTACCGATTACATGGCCTTTCATATCGCTTTGCACCTCAACTAATTCACTCTCCACTGCCTCTTTATTTTTTTTTTTGAGGTGGTTATAAGCCGATCTGTCAAACATAAGAATAGTTTTACCACAATTGACATTAATGTCGCAATCTGATTGCCAATTTGCCGTTGAAGATAAGAGTACAGACCAAGCCGCTCGAGTCAACGTGTCACGCAATGGTCACGCAATGAAAGAACCGTTTTCTTTAACATCGATATTGAGGTAAAAAAATCGACAGTGGCTTAGAGTGGTCTGTACTCCTATGGATAACGAAATTCGTCATCACAGTAGTGGTCAACTATCAAATTGTTAATAAGTCCCCTTTTCGATTCTGTAACACGACAAGCTCTACAATGGAACATTAGGTCTGATTGACTATGTGTCTCGTAACATCGACCAAACACCCGTTGTAAAAATGACAAACCAGAGTAATTAACAAAAGTTTTAAAAACTTCACACTAAGCTACTTTCAAGTTCAGTAAGGAAATGATATTTATCCAAGATGATATCACATTAAGAAAATTTTTGTATAATGAAGGAAATAAGACCCAGAACTTCGCCACTATTATAATAAATTGCCCTTTTTTGATAATTTATATGTGTTATGATTTAAAGTGTTTAAATTTATACATAATACAGTTTCGTGACTAGAAAAAAATTTGCATTTTGTCACTGTGGTGGTTTGTCGGCACGGCATCGCAGTACATAAGTATGATTGTTTATAAACACTCTAACCGATACTTGCATTTACAGATCTCCTATTTTTCAAATTGACCTGGTTTAGGATATTGTTCCTTAGAAAAGTAAAACTTTCCCGTTGTCATTGATTTCACTGGGACTGTAAACAGAATCCGTTTGTATAGGGACACGGAAAAATAAGCGATATTGGAAACCGAAGTAAGACAGGATCTGATGAGCAAATATGAATTCGAAACATTTCAGACACCAACCAGGACGAATTGAAAATTAATTTGAAAAAAAAAAACGCATCCACTTTTCTTTAAGCAAATAAGGTAAGGAAAAAAAGGAAAACGGTTCCTTATACTACTACTATTGCAATTAAATGGGAAAGTTAAAGACATTCTCAAGCAACAATTTAGAGGTTGATTCGGTTACTTTACTTACAACTTCTTACCCTCCTTTCGAGTCATTCGATCGTCTCCTATCAAAACCACGACTTCCCATGGGTATCAAGCAGTGTTCGCTCTTTCTTAAGTAAGTGGCAGCTCTTGATTTTAACATAAATATCGAACGATTCACCAAGAATCAACATTCGAGAGAACTCAAAACAACCTAACCGGAAGTACTTCCGGAGAGTCTTTTGTCACCAGTTTCCCCCGAAAAACTTGAATCAATCTCGTGCCAGTCTTAATAAAGTGGCTTGGATACTCGTCCAGGTCAGGCAAGCAAGCATGTGTGCTGTAGCTGGCGGGCCGCTGTGTGGCATCACATAGCTTATGTAGTCCTCAGCGTAGCCTGGACAACACACTCCATTGCAGGACTACCGGATGTTTCCTCGCACGAAATTCGTGACGAGAAAAGCGGATAAAATATGATGACAATGGGCTCAGTTAAACGATCCATAAATGACCCTTCGTGGCCACTTAGGAACGACAGCAATAACGACATCAAAGATACGCGATAATCTTACCGACGCCTAATAGTCAGATTATGTAGTCCGGCAGTGGGTGGATGACGTGGGCGATGATTGTTTTCATAAAGCAAAGCTATTGTTGACAAGTTTTACATGGCAAATTTTGCCGTCAATTGCTTTAAACCGGTAAGAAGTATATTCCACGAGAGGTTCACGTTGTGGTGCAGTGGTTAAGAGACCATACCTTTGGCCCAGGAATAATATTTCGAAGCGCTCCGAGTCTCGTGTCAATCATTCGAATACTACGGGTAGTCCCCCTTCCCTTATTCCAACCATTCTCTGCACGGATAGCGAATAGAGAAAAGATCAATAAACATAAACACAAAAACGAAAAACGAAAAACGCTCGAAAAAGTATTATATTAATCACTACTCACTCAGAACCGGATTTCTGTGCCAAATTTGCGTATATTTAAATTTTGCGCTTGGTAAATTAGATTTTGTTCCTTTTGCGCCTTAAAAGCTAAATAATCTCCCACAATTTGCCTTTACGGTAGCTACTGTATTATGGGTACTTATTAAATCTTAGTTGTTGGTTATTTAGTGAATTTATTTGAAATACAGTTAACAAACTTTGCGCTAGATAATTCAGATTTTGTTTGATTTTGTTCACTATGGAGTCTCTGTTGCTCAGTGGTAGAGTGTTGGAGCGCAGAATTATATGGGGTCTGAGGTTCGATTCCTTATTGGGACTAAGACAATTTTTCCAATATTTGTAAGAAAGGCCAGCAACGTTACCTCAACGTAGAGCTCACTTTTGAAATTAACACTGTCAAATGTATTTTGGAAGCAGGAAAACGGTCAAAACAGAAAGTTACCTCGGCTTAAATTTTGGCCAAAAAATTTTCTTTGCAAAAGGAGGAAAAAAGTGATGAAAATTAAACAGACCCTTCGGTAAGTTGTAAACTATGATGAAATGACTTAATGAGGACTTTTGTTATTTTTCCTCATTTGATTTTGATGAAAGACTCACAAATACATGGAAGGGTGAAAAAAAATTTATTTACGAAATTTTTTGTGTGTAAAAAGTTCCTATTCATATGGATAAAAATCAATTTTCTCTTAGTTTAAGAAACTAATATCTCCGATAAGGAAAATATCTTCTGTCAGAGCTCATCAGCTATGACAGGTAGCTCACAGTCGTTTAATAGGTCGTAAAGGTCTCCCACAGTTAACGGACATCTTTGTGCAATGTGATTCAAGGTAGCATCAACTGGATTCAAGGTGCGCTGGTCAAGGAAACGAATCTCCTCTGGGGTCAGCCCAAGTTTTTCGGCAAAAAGTTTCCACTCGTCTAAACCTACAGAAGTAAACACGCTTTATCAACACAACTGGTTCTTGAGATAGCACAAGTACATTCGTCATCCTTTAATTTACATATTTTGCGAGTTTTTGTCGAACGCTACCATAAAAGTTTAAAATAAAACTGGTTTAGACTTCCTACTAATAAAACCCCTCTACTAGTAAAATGTCAAAGGTTCATATGCTTTGTTTTATAGCCTTACCACTTAAGGCAATGGTGAGCTTTCTCCGCTGACTGAAAGGTATTTGTCGAATGTGAAGGCTTTCAGATAACAAAGGAGCTAGCAAAAAGAAATAGGATAATAATAATAATAATAATAATAATAATAATAAAAAAATGAAATCCAAAAGCACAACACCTAACAACCCAAAAGGGTTGGGTTCAAGAATAAAATGTTAAAAATGAACAAAGACGCAACTGCGGGACAACTGCGGGACAGTATGCCTAAATGTGAGTTAATATTTTTGAGCAAATTGACCACAAAATCCATTCACATTGAAAATTGATGTAGACTCTGATACAAAAGTCACGCCTATTAGGAATATATGAGTTTAAATATACTGAAACAGTGGTAAATAGCCCTCTTCCAATTAAGTCACTATATGATATGACGTTAAGTTCACGAAATTTACACTTAACTTCACCACAATTATGTTAGTTCTCGTCTCTCCATTTAGTAATTACCTTGTAGTGTCGTAAGTTGGAAAATCAGAGTGTCGCGAAAATTTTATACTGTACGATTTTGAAAACCTGACAGAAGGGCGAATCCGTAATTTACATGAAAACCATTTGGTTGAAAAACAGAGCCAATAAGACTTAAAATATTCTGATATATCACATAGGATAACCCATGACCATCGAGGAATAAGTTTGTACCTTACTCGGCATGGATATATATTTCTTTTTCTCAGAGCAATATTTCGATTGCATAAAATTGACCTCTTGGTGACTTTGAGTTCTTGCACAGTAGGGAAAGTTTTGAAAGCGAACCTACCTGTGGTCCCTGCTGGCACAAGACTTCTAAGCTCTTTAATCACATCATAGCGGCCCGCGATGTTAGCCTTTCTGGCCAAGTAACGAATCGACTTCATTTTATTAGGATCGGGATCTTGCAAAGCAGCTTGGTCCAGATTGAGTTTGTCCTTCAGTTGTTGTACAACATCTTTGCAATCAATCGACCGTGACAAAAGGGAGTCTAGAATCTCAACAGGAACAGAAAGGGTTCCATCTTTATATCCTAAGGATACAAGTTTATGAAAACATGAAGATTGTGTGACATTATGGCTATCTAGCCAGATTCTCAGCGTTTTGGACTAATAGACTAATTTGAGAACTGCGCAATTGTGTGCGCAAACACGACCATTTGCTTTGAGTGAATAAAAAAGGATACCTCAAGCATCAGGAGATCAGGAGCGCCTGCATTTACTCTTAACCAGTGTGGAAAATAGTTTTGAAATATTGTTAATAAACAACGAGGCAGAGTGATTTGAGATTTTGGTGCATTGTAGACGAGAAACTGCGTCGATTGTCGTAAACATGCAATTCTAGGTAGGAAGCTCACCTGTATCCAAAGACAAAGTTTTCTCACAGAAGTTACTGCATGACACCTATGATATTTGAAAAAAAAGGAGGACTGATAAAGTTTCTCACATTTCATGATCTGAGAATTATGAAATTGTGGTACAAAAATGGCCGGAAAAATCACAAAATGCTTTTTCGTTACCACACTACGTTTTGATTATTGATAATTGACCTTTACACAATATATATTCTGGCAATGGTGTAAACATGTCTGTTACGCTCCCTAAGATCTTCGGAAATTCTGCAACATTCAGACATATTCCAAAGAGCCTTTCAATTTCTTTGTATTTAAAGATTGAAAACTATGTTAATACACTCTGATTTACCATGTATATGCCTTACCTAAATTGCATCATTGGACCTAGTAGAGTTACTTGTTTTTTCTACAGCTTCGTAATGATAATTACCTGATCATCCTGAGGTGGAAACCAAGGAGCCCAGCGCTCAGGGCTGAATCTACTGTTATGCGCACAAACCGATTTGTCGCAAAAGACTTCCCCCTTAGAAGCAAACAAATCAGACTGGGGCCAAAAGTGAAGGCAGTCCTCTTCTTTGCAATTTAGACTCTGATGCTTATCGCAGTAGTCATTAGCACTTTGTTCACGGCAAACCGGGCAGATGATACCCATTGTGTATCTCATACTGTTCAGCCAGCAGAACTGATTACGCATGCACTCCAGAATCAAACCAAACTGTCTACAGATGACACGGACACACGTTAATTCATGTTCTTTATAACAGATATCCGTCGACCTTTGGCACCGTAAAGCATTTCCTAATCCGTCGTCTACACTCCCACGATGATAGACAACCTCAATGTAACACGAGTGACAAAGAAGAATCACAGAACCTCCAGCATCTTTTGACAGAAAAAACCTGACAAAGCTGTGGTACATCTTTGGTTTTGCTGAGCTCCAAAACATTTCTTTTCCCCAAAGAAAAAACTGCAGCACTAGTCGAGGAAATAAGCCAGAAGGCACTTTACCAGATTCAAATTTGAGAACAAGAGAAGGCATATGTGCAGTTGACACCAACTTCATGACAGCTTCTGGTGGATGTGACTTCAGCATTGATGGTACCAGGTATTGTTTATTACCGGAAACATCAGGTAAGGGCCATAAACATAGCAGACTAAATCTCTCCATTATTGCAACTAAACTTTCAGATGTTTCTTTGTGGAGAATCAAAGGTTTCCAGACATGTTCTAAAAGCTTCTCCTCCAAGATTCCTTCCTTTTCGAGCCTACACCATAGGTCTACAAATGGCTTTTCTTTCCAGTGGTAGGGTTTTACAGTTATCACCTTCTTGAAAACGTCTATCAACCACTGAGTATCCAGGACCACCATATCTTCCAGCTCTGCGGTGTCATCAAAATGGATCAAGATTCTTAGGTCATGCAGAAAGTTGAGCAGCGTCTTAAACTCATCTTCACTCTCGATTTCGCATTGATCACATGCAACGCACTTTGCTTTAGCAAGTGAAATCCACTTCTGCCCTCCTTTCTTCATGCATTCAAGTGTCTTTTCGTACTTTAACCACTTAACAGGAATTACTTCTTTAACATGTGGCAATTCCTTGGAAACAGAAAGAACATCCTGTCTTAAGCGCTTGACTTCTTGACACTCAGACTCACTGCCTGACTTTGTATTATCCACACAATACACGTCAAACAAATGGGTACCAAAGGGTCTCTCTTTCAATGTCCCATAAACTTCATTCGCAATTTCAAATGGGTCTCTGCCATGATAAGGTTTATCAGCGTGGGTGCAGACTAAAAAAACGACTGGAAGTTGCTGGGGAAGAACATCAGATCCAGGTTCTAGATCCTGCCCATGGCTTGGGTGTTGAAAGGCTAAGGACGCCAATGAATTCATCCAGAAATCTAGGTAATCCAAGTTAGTTTTTAGGTTGAAACTGTCTTGGGACTTTTTGTACACTCCCTGCTTCACGAGAGGCTTAGCCTTTTCGTCTGGATTTTGGCTGAGGTCATAAACAAGAAAGTAAATTGCTCTTGCAGTGAGAAAGAGGGGATGTGTCACATAATAAACGGACTGTCCGGCAAAATCCCACAGAATTGAGTAGATATCTTCATCTTCTTTTTCCTCGAGTTTAAGTTTGCGTTCAATTCTTGAAGCAATTTCTTGAAATTCTGATTCTTGTTCTGGAGTGAGATAAGGTAAATTTTCTTCTGGTTTCTGGTCAGGAGCCTCTCCTATCGCTTTGAGAGTTTCACCCGTGCTATGTTCAGTGGATAAACGAGCCTCTGTTGACTCGATTTCCTCTGGGCCAACTGTTTTGTCACTGGGGATTACCTCCAAGAGATCATCAGTTTCTTCAAGATCATAGTCTCCTTCATCAGCAATGTGTTCTCTTCTAAACTCAGAGACAGTTTTTGTCTTCTTCAACGTATTAGCAGCCAACCGTGCTACGTTTTCTTCAAATGAAATAGCTTCTTCATCAACGTCTCCTTCTTCATTCTTTTTCCCTGTCGTCCACATTTCTGTTGTCACTTGAAAATGGTAACGATCTAAGTCGATGCCCACTGTGCTCTCCTCTTCTGGGTCGAAACACATTCCCTTCAGCGATTTCTTCAAGCTAGTCTTTCCAGATCGGTCTTGTCCAACCAACATCAATGGTACTCTCCTGTCACAGATTTTTCCTTCGTCCAATGCGTCATAGTAGGCTTTTAAGGCTGAAGGGCCCCTTGCAAGGATCTCCGGAGGAACTGCATTTTCGAAGGCAACAAAACATCATCATGTAGATTAGATCCAATGAAAAAATTTCGTAATAACAACCATAATATATAAATAAATAAATAATGAATGTATGATGAAAAAGCATAAGAATTAATAGAAAGAACACTTCTTTGTAAGAAGTCAAGAGAAATGGTGTCACGCTCAGAGTCAAAGCAGAATATTAAGTCCGATGGTTCTAACTAAAGTTTTTCGTGAGGAAAAAGAAGTTGATTGCCATTTTATGCTATGTATGTTGATATACGATACTTCTTCGCTTCTCGCTAAGAGAACAATGGCTACCCAGAATAAGGTCCTATTTGAAAGAAAAGGTACTGCAATCTCCCGAATTATTTGTGGGCTTCTTGTAGGTCTCATTGGCACTATTTTCGCCGTGATGCCTTTAATAACTAAGGTAGATGGTTGATACCTCATCATGAGACATAACTGGACGAGTTTAAACCAATTCTCTGACCCAGCTCCTTTGAGATTATGCACTGATTGCAATGCAGGCTTGGGACTTTTCTCTATTAATATTTGTGATGTTTTTGTATGAAGACATAGCTCAATTTAGGAATCCGGCGTTAAAAGGGATAAAGTTGGTATGGAATCCGATGCTTTTTCATGTCGACGAGATACACGAAAAGGCAGCATGTGTTTTCTAACCTGTTCTTGTTGATCCAGTTTCTTTCATTTCCCGCACGACATAGCCTTGAATTTCCTTTACAAATTCAAGAAATGCAGGCAACTTTTGAACTATGATTTCCGGTTGCCAATCTGAGCTACTAAGGAGTTTGTCGCACTCTTCGCTGTGTAGATGGAGGTCGGTCTACCCATTGGAAACAGAGAAAGATAGAGTTAGGACTCGACAGTGTGTTCTTCAGAAAATATGCCATTATTTGTAAAATTGATGAGATTCAAAGTAGTAAAAAATTAAATGTTACCGATTCCCTGTTTGTTTCATTTCCTGAAGGGTCAGTCCACCATGAGTTCTCCTGCGAAATTATGGCAGAGAATCCTGGGCGCGTACTGTACATTTTTCGCTTACAGCAACGCTTATGGAGTAAGTGAAATCCCTCAGGAAAATTGTGATCTGGAAGACGTAATCCGAAGGCATCTTCATCTGTCCAAGTTAATCGAGAAAGGTATGTGGACAAAGTGCGTCTCACTTCGATTTTCGGAACGTCTCCTCTTTCAAAAGCATAATCTATGAGAAGATAAATGTTTCACAGTATTTACTTTTGTGCAATATTTTTAGAGGTAGAAAATAAACAATTTATCATGCAAAAATCATAGAGCTGTATCATCGTGAGATGGGAAGGATTCAGAGCGAACTTCATTCCAAAGCAATTCGTTATAAATTAAACACACACGTGTCCCTTTTCGGTTTTTTTCTGTTTTGAGTTATTGCTGAGCAGCGTTGTTGCGTATCTGACCAGGATGTGGTGCGTGATGGAAGTTAGACGAGATTCGGATTGTTTAGACGCTGAAAATAAAAAATTGTCATTTTCACATGTAATAGATATAACAACTAGTCTTTATGAAGGTGCGATGTTTAATCGCATCAAAAGTCTACTTGGTAACGATGACAGTAAAATGGGAAGGACGAATACATGGTTAAAAGATTGATGGATGAATGTTGTATCGATGAATGAAGGACGTAATTGGTTAAAAGAAGAATGAAAGCCTCTGGGAAACAGAAGTGCTTGCCTATCAAGGACATAGGAATGTGAATATAGGATGCTTAAGTTTGATTGTGGTGTAAATGAAGACGGTAAATCTTAGATCAGGTGATTTAAGTGGAGGAAGATGTTATGCAGTAAATGACGCAAACTTACTCAGAGAAGAAAATTTACTCGGCCTTCTTTCAGCATGTAAATCTCAGTATGTTTAAAATATGTAGGGTATTCTTGGCTGATTTTGCGTCACCAGCCGGTCTCTATTGCGTGGATGGAAGTTTAAGAGATCTATCACCAGAGGAATGGAAAATTCACGTAATGATAGACAATGATTCAAAACCGGAGAAAAAGATCATTAATTCTGTCTTGTTTCCGGTTTGGAAACCACGTCCCACGACCCTATCGAAGTTGCATAAATGTAGTTGTTCTTTTCTGTATAAAACAATGCCATTGTGCCGTAGGAAAGAGCCTTCGAAAGCTAATCAGGGCAAGGATGAATGAAAAAGGATGAATGAGTGGTTGTTGGGATGAATGGAAGGACAAACAGGCGGACTGAAGGATGGATAGAGAAATTAATGAATGAATGAACAAATAAATGATTGATGATTACATATGACTATAACGATCACAACTAAACACAAATTGTTAGTCTTGCCTCTTCGCTCACGCATAGTGAACCTGCAGTCTAGCTCGCAGCCAGGAAACAGAATGTCGCTCTGCAAATGCCTTCGAGATTTAAGTACGAGCCATCCACGACAGCGTGCTCGTGTCAAATCATCTTCGAAATAAATCTCCTCCAGTACATTTTTAACGTCACTGAAAGGGATTGGTATATCTTCCAGCCTTTTCTTTATGTTACTCTTTGCCACCCACACCTGTCACATTAATAAAGGGGAAAAAGCACAGTATGTAATGGGGTGTAGATTTATGATTCAATTTTTGGCCCACCTATAGTTTGGGAGAGAGAAAACCGACGTGGAAACAGAGAGAAACTGTGTTCCAGTCTGTCCTTCTATCTGGTTCTCTGTCTGGTCGTTTTTTCATTAGTCATTTCGGTCAGTCCTTCCACCTGTCAGTCTGGCAGTCAGTGAGAGAGTCAGTCAGTGCGTTAGTTAGTCGGTCGGTCGGTCGGTCGGTCGGTCGGTCGGTCGGTCGGTTATTCCATCAGCCAGCCTTGATCAGTCGGTGAGTCAGTAAATTAAACTGTCAGTCAGCCAGTTGGTCATTAAGTCAGCCAGTCACTTATAAGCAGCATGCCGTATAGCAAACAACTTAATCAGTCTCTCAGACATGATTTTGCAGTTTGGATCGGTGAGATGACGACGTCAGAGTGAATGTCGCTCTGACGAGGGGCTAACGCTCGAAACGTCAGCTATATACGGTGGTCAATTTCGTTATCATCTCAGTTGATAATGCTAAATTACCCTAGTGACTGTATTGATTGTGAAGTTTGGACGGCTATCACATACTTTTGGATATTGAGTATTAATGTACGCTTTCCCGCCGTAAACTATATCAAATATAAAAAAAAAAACACAAAAGAATGCAGTGCCCCTAAGAAATTCAGCAAACGTGCTGGTGACTTTGAAAAATGCGTCAACTACTTCGTGTTCAAATGAATTTCTCCCTTCGCACATGCAGGAACAGTGTGGAAAGTCTTCATTCGCTTAGTCAATAAATGGGCCATCTAGGGACAAGCCGTCAAAGGGAAAAGCAAATTAATTGAGTTTAGTGTAAAAATATAACAAAAGAACTTAGGAGTTCTATTACGCATTACACACGTTCGTTGTCTGCCCAGGAAGAAAAGAGACAAAAGATCTCTGTAACTTACCTTACATCTAAGTTTATGAAAGCAGGGTGTCAGATATGTCAGGTCATATCTGGAGATATATTCGTCGTCTTCAGTGATCTCTATGTAGCCATTTCTTTTAAAGATATCCTCTGGAATGTCATCTCGCTGGGTAAAAGAAACTTTCCAAAAACTTTCTCCTTCATCGGGCTTTTGAAACTTTTCTGTTATCTCCTCGATACTCCACGTTTGTTGGAGAACGTCTTCTACGATATCAAAAAGGACACTTAAATTTTAAATGTGTTGATAAATAAACCACTTTGTAAGTCTCGCGAGGTGTGACAAGTCAGCCAGGTCTGTGTTATCAGTAAGGAAATGCAAAGTGCATACGGGAGACAAAAAAGAGAGAAAATCACAGAGAACGCGAAGGAGAAACAGCGAGAAGGACGACAAGGAAGAGACAACATAGCAGAAAAAAAACAACTTTTAAACAGGATGGATTTTTGATATTCATCAATGAAATAGAGAAATAAACACTACCTTCACCAGGTGCTCTAATAAGGGAGGTTCCTAAATGGCACCACATGTCGACCTTCGGATTCTCAGCTGTTTCCACGTTATTTATAATCTTCCTTAGAGAGATCAAAACTTCATCCCCAAGATTTGATTGATACACGGTGTCTTTCCAGTTATTGTAGGAATCCTGCCCAGATTTAAATTTGCGTTTGGAGTAAAGAGTGTAAATTCGCGATAAAATAAAAAAGACCTGGGATTACGATTGGGTATTGATAGCACGGATCTCATGGTTTGAAATTCGTAGTCTGTATAAGTATGGAATTCAAAACGCCGAGCATAAATCACAGAAAAGGTCAGCTATCACAGTATTCCTCTGTCCATTTCTAGTTCAATACGGGTTTAAAGTGTTCAAACACGTGCATAGTTGTTCCCTGCGGAAGTTTGACATGAAACATACCTCCCTTTCAAAGTGCTCAGCTGGCTTTAGCCGATAATAGGTGTGATCCTCTTCTGGTGTCTCCTCAAGCTTGAGTTTACAGTTCACAGGAAGATGACAGCCATCGACATAGGAGCAAACTTTATAAAGTTCGTTTTCAAAATCCTTCATTCTTGCTTCAGCCTGGTGGTTTAAAGGCATCGTTACCAGTGCTCAGAAAAAGGTAAAATGCAATCACAAAGTAGGTTTTTAACCAGCACATTGCAAGCACAGTTATTGGCTTAAACCCGACACGAGTATTCAGCTTGTGATAAATCAATTAGTTTACAATGAAAATAACGAAACCTCAGTCACGGTCCGAACTTTAGATCACTTTTCGCTGAGGATTAATTAAAACCGGAATTGGTCAGCCAAAATTTTTCACCGTGCTCTGCGTGTATTCTCTCCTTCTGATAAAGGGCAGAGACTAACGGCGATAAACGCTTTTTGTGGAAATTTAATACCTTGATAATTGAACTTTTGATACTTAATTAATTTGAACAGCTGACAAACATTAAAACATATGCTTGCATCGTTCTCACCCTAAAATTGATCGCTTTCTCACCTTACCCACCCTGACATCCTCAAGGATTGAATCAATTTACAGAAAGCTGAAAGTCTGAGTTTTTTCCCTAAATTTTAAGAATTTTTTGACTATTTTTATTTTTCTCGATTATTCACCGTTCTGTTATGTTTCATTTAAAAATTTTGAACTCCAAGAGGTTTGTCTTCAACAGTTACTGGCCCATAAAACAAACAAAAGGCCGAAGAAACCATTTCAAGGGCATACTAAGACATGACGCAGGGAAAAGAAAACACGATACATTTAACCAGAAGCAGGATTTTAAACATCACGTATCTTGGCGAGTTATCGAGTTAGCTCTAAGTGGTTACCATCCAGAAAACACATTTTTTTTTCTTGGAAAAAGGACACGAGTTCTAGGGTTTACTACTCAGTTTGCAATAAGCGGCTCCTGTTTACCACACTTGATAAATGCCATCGTTTTTTTCTCTTTTCATTCTTAGGCTGCTACTCCCCGGAGTTCAGCAAGACTATCCTAAATCACGCTCCTACAGCGGTCTCGCTTTGTGAATGATCATCAAGGAATAAATTAGTTCATACCACAATTTTTCCAATGCTAATTTTTGCACGTCGCCGTTGTTGTTCTGTTCCACGGACTATATATACTTCTCGTTCCTTGACAAAAAGTCTTACTCCTGTTTCGGTTTCTAGCTCGCGTAACTTAGTTTTCCATTTCCCAATCACCCTGCCTTTGTGTCTATCTGGAATTTCAATCAGCTCGTCCCAATTATCTTTCAGCTCCTCCTGCAAAAATGAAATTTATGGAGGTAGTTTTGCTCTGGTCAGCTGCCTTTAAAAGAACTGTCAACGTCAAAATTCTGAGATATGTCCAGAAATGCATGCAGTAACGAAGAATGATGAAAATTCGTCAAAATCGTGAAATCCGCCAAGCTGATTTCGCTTTCATGAATTTGACTGAAATTCGCTAAAATCGTCAAGTCAATGAACTCGATTTGACGAAATTTCCTTAAATCTGACATTTTTCCTACTGTGTACATTTCTGAACATAAGTGAAAATTCACGAAGGACACAATATGAAGTAATGTTAATCTTAACACAATAACATGTCTTGAACTGACCAGTTTTTCAGATATAAGCTGTTTGGCCATCTCTATTCCCTCTTCGTTTCCAGTTATAGTAAACCCTGGTTGATCTCTGCTCCCGGGATCAATTGTGGTTCCAGAAAGCTCAATCATTTCATTAAGCACGACTCGATGCTTACCAATGACATGGCCTTTCAACTCTATTGGAACCGGCACGAAGGCAACCAGCGATGCATCCATAGTTTTCTCTCTTTGGTACCAGATAAATCTGAAAAAAATTTAATTTATTTTCAAATTTATCTCTAAATTCTTTTGCGTTTTGTATAAGTCTGTCTCGGTCTCTATCATGACGTACTCGATGATCTATACCTCTTAAATATTTTCCTTTGAAATCAAAGAGTGATCATTTTTCATTTTAATGACACTGTTGGTTATCTGAGATTGTAACAAAAAAAAAAAAAACAGAAGAAAAACAAACCAACCCACTTAAACAACATCCAAGACTGAGGAGAGACAGGCACAATATCAGACTAAATTCCCTATTTATAGCTGATTAAAATTGAAAGGAAAAACCAAATGACAAAATCAAAACAAAAAACAAATCAAAACAAATCGAAAAAAGATAAATAAATCATAAAACAGAAGACCATTCATTACACAAACAAACAAACTAGACTTATCACAGAAAAATATAGAGGTACCTTCATTCCCAGCGCTCGCGTGCATGAATAATTATGCAAAACGTCGATATATCATTCAGTATGAATCACGTAACTTATTAATTCTGAAAATATAATAGTCAGGTTCTGCCCTTCGGTTGAACTGTTCAGAGATCTTGTGTACTCTCACAGGTAATCGTATATCTCAATTCAATGGAGCGAGTGGGGATCTGTATAGATTCACTATTTACCCTTTCGTCTAGGAATATAGTTGCATTCTCAATTGCCGTAGATGAAATTACTTTGCAATTATTCTATATTCTCCGTCACGTAATCGGTGAAGCTGTTCGGGCGTACTAACGTTACAACATTTCGAATGTATAGGTTAATGCCGGTTAAACATTTATATTACTTTCATTTTGTTTTAATGGCTCGCTTATAACGTTTCTGCCGGACACTAACTCAATATAAAGAATAAACTCAACACGCGAGTTTTTTTAAACCCTAACCCAAGCAATTTTAAAACATCGTCCCGAAGTTACTATTTCTGAACTTTCCTAACTTCAGTCACGACTTTGGGTATGACGTATGATAGAGAACGTTATGCGACTTGCCTATACTTAAAATCAAATTCTTCTGCCGGACACGATTAAACATAACACAGACAGATTTTAACAATAAAACTTAACTCACTAAAATGTCCACCAAAATGTTAGGATGAAGCGTTTCATAAAATTAGATAAATTGCAATTTTCGCAAACATAAACAGTGACGACTCGATCATCATAGAATTTTACCTCAGAAGCGAAACTCAAAAAGTGATATCGCTCCTTGGTTGACCGAAATTACGTGTACCAACAATGATTACACAAACGGCTCGCTGCATATTCGATTATAAATTGATCATTGCTACCATTATTCTCGGTCATAACGAACCAAAATACACTTTATGCTCACCACATCACTTCCTTAGTGCAATATTCTTTAACAAACAGTGGCTATGCTTAAAAATATTCAAATCGATCCACTCGGAGTCAACTCTGGATACTTCCGGGATTGAAGTCTAACAACTGACTACAGTGCTTACCACGACCGCAATGCATCCTGAGAAAATGTAACGCAACGCTTTCACGTTGGTCTGGTCCTCTGTATTTGTAGCCACTTTGCTTACTATTCTCGGTCAATTTCTGGATGTTAATTGGAAAGGAAATTCTCGTTACCTGACCAACGCTCAGCACTGTCTTTGAGAGTTTTTTTAATCTTAATCGATGTTGTCAGCCTGAGTATGATGTCATTGCAAGTATGTTTCCATTCCTTACTTTTTACGTCTCGCATATTTGTAATCCATATCCTGAATTCATCCATGAAGAAAGTAGAGCAACTACATCTCTTTTTTTTCCTATCAGGATCCTTTTCTCAGAGTACTATTTAATTAACTTTCTTGAAAAATACTGGTTTCAAACGCCAGCCTTCTTACATTATAGGCAAAATACGTTTGTTCTGAGGAATCAGTTTTATTGTAACATTTGTTATTTTATAAGACTCATTTCCATTCATTTATTCATTATTTACTTTTCTTAGTAACCATTTAACGCTTTATACGAACACGTCTTCCTTCATTCGTAAGAATTTTATCTTTTATTAAGGGTCTGAGTAAAGGAATGTGCGATGACAGTTTCTATTGTCCTTTCGTAGGCACTACGGATTGCCAAAGAAAGCATTTGAAGATTGCTTGGATTGAAAGTGATTTGACGGCAAATTATTAAAAAATATTATTGTGGGGAAATCTGATGCATGGTACATGAATCAGTTAATCTATTTCGCTGGAAAGTGTACCGCGGGCTCTGAAGACGATCTGCAGCCAACAGAACGCAACGAATGCCAATGAGAAGAGAGGGCTTTAGCTAGCGATTACTCCTTTTGAACGTTTGCCTTTAGCAGAAGTGAGCCGAAAAAAGATTCCATTATTTCCAGCTTTTGAGAAATCCGAAGAGAGCTTTTTACTTTGGGATTCGACCAAGATTTTGGCAACACCGGAAGTACTTCCGGCTGTATCTCGATCACTTCTCGTGCGGTATCGATCTTAAGCTGGATAAATTAATTTTACGAGCATCCCCGATCGTATGGAATCAAAAGGAAAACGGTAGGGCAATCATATCAAATATTCATTCAAGACCAGGCTCTTCGTTTCGAATACATTTGGCGACAATCTTGACAAAAAAGTGTATTCTAGCTTTGTTATTGTTTATCAAAGAATGGTGCGGCATTGTCTAGATTTAAAAGTAATATTTACAATCATATTTAAAGCAAATTTGATAATGAGGTCATCACTTGCGTGATCATTACGTTTAAAAACTAATGATCATCGGTGAAGTATAATTTCACAGCCGTTTTGTCAAATTTGTTTAAATTTCCTCTACTCGGATACTAAAATACTAAAAATCTCCTAGATGCTGTACGCTACATTTGCAATAAGATATAAGAAACGATGCAGTACATGTGCAAATAGCAATCTTGTAAGTTATTCGGACCAAAATTGTAAATCAACGTAGTCAAAATATATTTTTAAATTAAAAAACATCAAGACGGAATACTTCCTCTGACAACTCTGACAAAGATGATTACTTTCCAACGTCGACTTTAGTTTGGAAAACTGCCCATAGAGCAAACCCATTTTCCAGGGTTTTCAGATGATAGCTCCAGACTGTAGTAACAAATCCTGAAAGAACAATGGAGAACGAATATTTGCATGTTCCCAAGGAACTCAAAGGTCATGTTATTGGAAGGGGAGGACTAGTGATAAAGGAGATCAAAAAGAGTTCTTCGGCAAATATCACTTCAAGGAGCAGAGATGAGGAAGGATTTACTATCACTGGAAACAGGGAACAAATAACGCTTGCGAAGAGATTAATCTCAGAAAAAGTGGTAAGTAATTTAAAACGATTCCGTAAATTTTCTGTAAATGGAAGCAACTTTGAAGAGGACCTGCAATTGCATCAGGTCATCCCTTAGTTTCAAATTAAAAAAATCCGTTTAAAAACGGGAATGATTCCGTAAATGTTCACCGCACTATGAAGGAAACAACTCTGGGATGGACCTGGAATTCCATCCGGCTATCCTTTTACTTTTACTTAATCACACGACTGTTAGATAAATAGAATATTGCCCGAATAAAAATTTCAGTCCCTTACACTGTCTTTGACAACCACGAGTGGAAGCACAAGGATGCCGACCTTGAGTCGTTAATAGTTGTACAATTTTCGACAAGTTTTTGGTATCTCTGTATCATGACTTGTTTTTCATCTCGTGGGTCTTTGTTTTCTGTGGGATTTTAACAGGAAGAAGTTAAGAGAAGGAAAACTGAAGGATCTCCGGGTGAACTGGTAAAAATTCCAGATAAGTACAAAGGAATCGTCTTTGGTGCAGGAGGCGATACCCTCAAAAAAATCAGTACACAGACTGGGGCAAGGATGATTCGTATACAAGGAGAATTGTATATAACGAGTGGTACCAAGTCTCAGAGAGATATGACAAAATTACGTATTTGGAGTATAGTGGTGAGTATCACCTTATAATGTGGTCTACAGTTCAGTCGACATGATCAATTCGAACTCACAACTTAACATAAAAGTTTTCTGGAACAATTGTTTGGTATATTTTTTTTACTCGTTGCCAACTGTTAAAAAATAAACAAACATCATACTATTTTGGTGGGTAAAATTCCATGGAAGGAAATTCTTTCGTCTTGTCTTTGCCAGGAAACGAATTTACGTGAGCAAGTCAAGGGATCTGTTCATCAGCACGAAATGTGCAATCTAATTGGTTCTAAGAGTGGTCTTAGATGTATAGCTGCAATACAGGCCACGGAGAGGATCGGTTCACGGATAAACATTGTCTGTGCAGAAAATGAATGAAAAGCCTGTTAGGCAATTTTCCGCAGACTTAAGCTACATTTTCCAGTGCTGACGCTTTCATTTTTCATAATTAGTAAAACTGATGGGTCAGTGCAATCCTTAACCATAATCGTTATAATATATTTATGTCGGGAAAAGAACTAAATGTTGTGGACCTTGCACTGTCACAATATCCCACTGCTAGTTGTAATGACAATCCAAAATTTAAGTTACCTTCTTTGATTGCAGTATAAGTTTAGGAATGATGTTTTTTGTCTTGTCACAAGCGTGAGACAAAGAGAAAAAAATCAGATCTTCGGGTTCTGCGCTTTGATGCTCTACCACTAAGAGACTCCACGGTGAGCGAGGCTCAGTACGAAGTTCATACATAACACGCGTCCTGCATACTACTGAGATCAGCGATGTCGATAGCGTCATGTTTGTAAAATGATTGAGAGAGATGGTAAGCAGACACGCAGGACGCGTGTTCTATATGAACTTCGTAATGGATCTCGCTCACTTTAGAGTCACTGTGGCTTAATGGTAGGGCATCGGAGTGCGGCATCCGAAAGATCTGAGGTTCGATTCCTCATGGGGACTTAGAATTTTTTACTTTGTCTCACACTCATGACAAGACAAAAGAAACATATTTCTCTATTTCTTTACCGGGCTCAAAACGTACCATTCCTCTTACTCAATATAAGTATATTTTAACTCCTTGATTATTTTATGTGAAGGCAGGGGCAAGACTAAGGGGAGTTGAAAAGCCTTGTAACAAGGTTTGTTGCTACATCGATGGCTGGAATCTTCCAGAAAACTCTGAGTTAATGCTGAAGCCTCAGAATAGTTGGTTGGGTCTTCTGGAAAAGGATGAACATTATCGACTGCTACCGACTGAGGAATATGAACCTCTGCAGGTTTGTTCATTCTGAAGACGATAATTCAACGGTGAAGACGAGTTTTTTAGGTTTTATTTTTGATTTTGTTTTTGTTTTTGTTCTCAGCGGTTTTCGTTACTTTATTTTTACTGTATTGACGATGATGTCTTTGATTTGTTTTGTGATATAGTTGTTAAGTTCCTTTTCTCAGTTATGATGTTTTCAGATATTTCTTATAGTGTGCTTTAACATGCTAGCACCAACCTTGAAACTATCATATCCATAATCATCAATCTCTATCAGTTGTCACTTTTCCAAGGTGGTAAATTAGTAGCGCAGCTCTGAAAGAACAGAGCACTTATTCGCCATAAGTTATATCCGCAATGAGTTATAATGGTGCAAACCCGTTACAGGTTAAAGGGAGAACCACCAACGACTATGAGGATATACCAATGTGAGTGGATAGCGTTGAAGACGCGCTTTGATTCGCTAGTCAAACTCTGGATATCCTTTGCTTTTTACCGCCGAGCAACTCACGCGGAATTTGCGCCCGAAAATGTCGTAATCGTTGCGGAATAGTTGAGTTATAGTCATCTTTTTGAGTTATTTTTATCTCACTGTTTAAGTATATAAGAACCAACAATTAGCCACAGTGTCGATGGCTGGCAGAAGATATTTATCGAGCCTCGAAGCGGCGAGATAAATATCCCCCACTAGCCACCTCCACTTTGGTGAATAGTTGTTAGTTATTAGGTACAATCAGTAAAAAGTTTTCCTCTGTTTTCTCTTATCAAGGAATCAAGTTGTAGTGATAGCACGGCATACGAGTTGAGACTAAAAGAAGATGCTTTGGAATCTCTGCGCAGAATTAAAAGGGAAAAGGGGTCGAAGGCCGACATGTGGTGTCATTTTGGAAAGGTAGTGATCCGCGGACCCGATGAAGGTAAACTTACTGAGTATAATTTGTTACAAAAGACTATTACAGTTCTCTCTTTTTATGAGTATTGACTCATCAGTTTGAAAGTATCCATTCAACATGAATAAATATGTAATAAACCTTAATAAATTGTCATAAAGTCAAATCTACTGCAGCTATCTCCTAACTTTGCTGATCACTTATCTAAATGATGGTAAGAATAATGATCAAAATGTACTCAAAACTCGCTGGTGGCGTTCTAATCTATAAGATCTGAAATCCACTCCGGCTAAACCTGCAGAAGTAAGAATATGAAACGCTCGATTGATTACAGCGGAGGTTTCAGATGAAGAACAATGGAGTATTGAAGAAGCA